TTAACCTGTAATGCGGAGGGAGTTGTTCAATATCATTTATAGCCTCAGGACCCACTGCAGCCACAGGTCTGAAGCTCATTCCACTAAGCCTCCCCCAGGCTAGATTTTTCCCATAGACAATGACTGTTGGTAGATAATGAACTAATAACAACAAGAGGTTAAGGCTGGCATCTTCCCCACTTACTCATTGGACATCCATGCCCATAAGTCACTGAACTGAGAGAATTTGGGGAAATGATTGAGCTATTCCAAGAGAAGGGCTGTTCAGGACTTCTACTCAGAGTGCCACTTCCTGGCAGTATGTGGCAGACAGCAGAAGACACGACTCCGGGAGGGGAGTTGAGGCAAGGCTTCCCTGGAGCCATCTCCTAGCTTCTAGGGGAAGGTGAGTGTATCAGTATCATGCTGCTGCTGTAACAAATCACCACAAACTACAGGGCTTAAAACAATACAAATGGGTCAGTCCACAGTTCTACAGGTTAGAATCTGACGTGGGTCTCAATAGACTAAAACCAAAGTGCTGGCAGGACTCTCTTCCTTCTGGAGGCTCTAGGAGAGATGATTTCCTCACCTTTTCCAGCTTCTTCTTCTTTTTTCTTTTTTTTTTTTTTTTTTTTTGAGACAGAGTCTTGCACTGTCGCCCAGGCTGGAGTGCAGTGGTGCAATCTCGGCTCACTGCAAGCTCTGCCTCCCAGGTTCAGGCCATTCTCCTGCCTCAGCCTCCCGAGTAGCTGGGACTACAGGTGCTCGCCACCACGCCCAGCTAATTTTTTGTATTTTTAGTGGAGACGGGGTTTCACCGTGTTAGCCAGGATGGTCTCGATCTCCTGACCTTGTGATCCACCTGCCTCAGCCTCCCAAAGTGCTGGGATTACTGGAGTGAGCCACTGCACCTGGCCACCTTTTCTAGCCTCTAGAGGCTATCTGCATTCATCTGAGTCGATGCAGGTGGAGTTGCAAATCTTGAACCTTGAACCCAAGTCTTTGCTTTGCTGGTGGAAACTGCCAGCTCTCCCATAGCTAAAGAGATTAGCCTCTTATTTAAATACCCTGTGGTTGCTCTCCGTGGACCAGGTCTGAGAGTGGGCATCTATTGAGATGGTTCCCCTGGTTTCATGGGTGATGGTGGAATTCCACAATGGCAGGTAGCAGTTCTGAACCACCAAAGACAGGGGGGTATATTCGTTGTAACGGGCAGGAAGACAGTGATCACCAGAACGCTGTGACCCACATGACCTTTGCCAGTTGCTAATGGGCCTCAAGGAATGAAATAAATACAGCAAATTTCCACACTGAAACTAGTTCACAGACTCAGAGTCCCTTGATTGAAGAGAAGGCTGTGTCCCAAGGAAGGACCCTGTGACATTGCCACAAATATGTGCTGTAAATCTTCGTCCACTTCTTCCCCATAGGGACCTTTGGCCATGTATTGAGGGTTTGTGTGCGTGGAAAAAAAGGACTTGCCACGACCTTTTGGGGATTTCTGGACATGGGCTCTAAAATGACATTAAATCTTTTGAAATTTTGGCTGGGCGCGGTGGCTCACGCCCATAATCCCAGCACTTTGGGAGGTCGAGGTGGGTAGATCACAAGGTCAGGAGTTCAAGACCAGCCTGGCCAACATGGTGAAACCTCATCTCTACTAAAAATACAAACTTTAGCCCAGCGCGATGACAGGCACCTGTAATCCCAGCTACTTGGGAGGCTGAGGCAGGAGAATCACTTGAACCCGGGCAGCGGAAGTTGCAGTGAGCCGAAATCACGCCACTGCACTCTAGCCTGGGTGACAGAGTGAGATTCCATTGAAAAAAAAAATCTTATGAAATTTTTAGAATATTCTTAGGAAGCAAAATGCCCGTGTGTGCTACCAGTCAAAGTCGGGGTTTATGGTAGTCAGGTGATAACGGAGTTTTGCCCCAAATCTGACTCATAGTGGACCCAGCAGGTGTGCAGATCTACCCCATGGTTATGCCCCAGTTCTGGGATGTATCACGGCAATGAACATCTACAGCCCCTCAAAGAGTCCTCACATGGAGGGCGGGCGCAGTAGCTCACGCCTGTAATCCCAGCACTTTGGGAGGCCGAGGTGGGCAGATCACGGGGTCAGGAGATCGAGACCATTCTGGCTAACATGGTGAAATCCCGTTTCTACTAAAAAATACAAAAAAAAAAAAAATTAGCCGGGCGTGGTGGCGGGTGCCTGGAGCCCCAGCTACTTGGAAGGCTGAGGCAGCTACTTGGGAGGCTGAGGCAGGACAATGGCGTGAACCCGGGAGGCTGAGCTTGCAGTGAGCCGAGGTGGCGCCACTGCACTCCAGCCTGGGCAACAGAGCGAGACTCTGTTTGGAAAAAAAAAAAAAAAAAAAACCAAACTCCAGAAGGGATGGGATGTGAATTCTGACACTTGTTTACAAAGGAAAGACTATGACTTCCATTTATGCGCGCCCTCTCTTGTTCTCTTTTTCTTGACTCACCAGCTGCTGTGCGGTGGGGACACTCATGGTGGGGACACTCACGGTGGGGACACTCGTGCAGCCTATGGGGTGGCCCAGATGGTAAGGAACCCAGGCCTGACAGCAACCAGGTGGGTGAGTGAGTTTGGACATGGATCTCATGAGGCTGCCCTGTAACACCACTTCCATGTGCACGCAAGGAGCTTCTGCAGCCCCAGGTGAGCCTTCAGATGACTGCAGACCTTGCTTATAGCTTAACTACAACCTGCAGAGGACCATGAGCTGTGGGCATCCAGGTAAGCCTTGCCCAGATTCCCAACCTGCAGAAACTGGGAGATAATAGATGTATACCGTTTTAACTGCCATGTTTTGGAATAATTTGTTATGCAGTTATAGGTAACAAATACAGAGCATATTCCAGAGTGGGGTGGCATATTTCTTTCTTTCTTTCTTTCTTTTTTTTTTTTTTTTTGAGACGGAGTCTCGCTCTGTCGCCCAGGCTGGAGTGCAGTGGCCGGATCTCAGCTCACTGCAAGCTCCGCCTCCCGGGTTTACGCCATTCTCCTGCCTCAGCCTCCCGAGTAGCTGGGACTACAGGCGCCCGCCACCTCGCCCGGCTAGTTTTTTGTATTTTTTTTAGTAGAGACGAGGTTTCACCGTGTTAACCAGGATGGTCTCGATCTTCTGACCTCGTGATCCGCCCGTCTCGGCCTCCCAAAGTGCTGGGATTACAGGCTTGAGCCACCGCGCCCAGCCCTTTCTTTCTTTCTTTCTTTTTTTTTTTTTTTTTTTTGAGATGGAGTCTTGCTCTGTAGCCCAGGCTGGAGTGGAGTGCAGTGGTGTGATCGCGGCTCACTGCAACCTCTGCCTACCAGGTTCACACCATTCCCCCCTCTCAGTCTCCCGAGTAGCTGGGACTACAGGCGCCCACCACCACGCCCAGCTAATGTTTTTGTAATATTTTAGTAGAGATGGGGTTTCACTGTGTTAGCCAGGATGGTCTCGATCTCCTGACCTTGTGATCCACCCGCCCCGGCCTCCCAAAGTGCTGGGATTACAAGCGTGAGCCAAGGCGCCCGGCCAGGATGGCATATTTCTTTCCTTCAACAAATACTGACAGGCTGCTATATGCCAGGTATATTGTGGGTACTGACAGGTGTATTAGTTCATTTTGCATTGCTATGAAAAAATACCTGGCCCATCACAGTGGCTCACACCTATAATCCCAACACTTCGGGAGGCCGAGGCAGGCGGATCACCTGAGGTCAGGAGTTCGAGACCAGCCTGGCCAACATGGTGAAACCCCACCTCTACTAAAACCACAAAAATCAGCTGGGCATGGTGGCACGTGCCTGTAATCCCAGCCACTTGGGAGGCTGAGGCAGGAGGATCACTTGAACCTGGAAGGCTGAGGTTACAGTGAGCTGAGATTGCAGCACTGCACTCCAGCCTGGGTGATAGGGAGAGACTCTGTCCCAAAAGAAAAAAAGAAAAGAAAAGAAAAGAAAAGAAAGAAAAGAAAAAAGAAAAGAAAAGAAAAAGGAGATACCTGAGGCTGAGTAATTTATAAAGGAAAGAAGTTTAATTGGCTCACAGTTCCGCAGGCTGTATAAAAAGCATGGGGCTGGGTACAGTGGCTCATGCCTGTAATCCCAGCACTTTGGGAGGCCAAGGCAGGCAGATTACAAGGTCAGGAGATCGTCCTGGCTAACACAGTGAAACCCTGTCTCTATTAAAAGTACAAAAAAATTAGCCAGGCGTGGTGGCAGACATCTATAGTCGCAGCTACTCAGGAGGCTGAGGCAAGAGAATGGTGTGAACCTGGGAGGCAGAGCTTGCAGTAAGCTGAGATAGTGCCACTGTACTCCAGCCTGGGCAACAAAGCAAGACTCCATCTCAAAAAAAAAACAAAGAAAGAAAGAGAAAATCAGGCCAGGCTCGGTGGCTTACCCCAGTACTTTGGGAGGCCGAGGCAGCTCATCGCTTGAGCTCAGGAGTTCAAGACCAGCCTTGTCGACATGGCGAGACCTCTTGTCTACTAAAAATAAAAAAATTAGCCAGACATGGTGGTGTGCACATGTAGCCCAAGGCTGAGGTGGGACAATCGCTTGAGCCCAGGATTTGAGGTTGTAGTGAGCTATGATCATGCCATTGTACTCCAGCCAAGGTGACAGAGTGAGACCCTGTCTCAAAAAAGACCCCAAAACCAAACAACAAAATAACATATAAATCAAAATATATCAGATTTCTTTTCATTTCTTAGCTATATTCTGCATATTAAATACACACATTAAAAATGCAGGTCCAGGCCAGGCGCGGTGGCTCTTGCCTGTAATCCCAGCACTTTGGGAGGCCAAGGCAGGTGGATCACCTGAGGTCAGGAGCTGGAGACCAGCCTGGCAAACACGGTGAAACCCCATCTCTACTCAAAATATAAAAATTAGCTGGGCATGGTGGTGGGCTCCTGTAATGCCAGCTACTCAGGAGACTGAGGCGGTAGAATTGCTTGAACCTGGGAGGCAGAGGTTGCAGTGAGCTGAGATTGCACCACTGCACTCCAGCCTGGGCGACACAGCAAGACTCTGTCTCAAAAAAAAGAAAAAATGCAGGTCTAGGCAGCACTCCCGGTGGTCTCACACATCTGTCCCTTGCTTCGACAGTGTTAGGATAGAACAGACCTGAGGATTCCCTCTCTTCCAGCCTCTCCTAATCTCCAATCACCCCTCCAGTTGCAACCTCCAGGACCATCTTCTCAGCCATATCCTGCTTCCAGGACCAGCCAACACCGTTGTTGTTAGAAATAAGTTTAGCTCCTTATTGCCAACCAACCACGAGCTCCTAGATTCGTGAGAATGATTCCACCGAGGAGGAAGCTGCGGTCAGCTGCCTGGTCCATGTGCATTGGCAGGTCTCCTGCACTTACCATTCCCTGGGCTTCTATTTTAACCACAATGAGTGGCCCTGGAGCGCTTTGGTTCTTCCGTGAGTTGGTTCAACAGAAGCACAAGGGCACGGTGTGTCTCTTGGAAATGCACAACCAGTTGCACCATCTTCCAAGGTGTGCAGAAGCCATTTCTAGATGAGTGCGGAAAACCACGGATGCCATCAAAGCCATCATTGTCTGGAGAAGAAGTTGAACCAGGCCCTTATGGATCTGCATGCCCTTGGTTCTGCCCACACGGACCCTCATCTCTGTGACTTTCTGGACAGCCATTTCCTAAACGGGAAGATGAAACTCATCAAGACGATGGGCGACCACTGCAGTTACCTTTGCTGGCCAGCTGGCCCCCAGGCCCGCCTGTGCCAGTGTCTCTTCCAAAAGCCCACCCACAACCACAACCGGGGCCTCCAGAGCCAGCCGCGTTTGAGGGGCACCTCTGCACCCCCTGGTATCAGGGCTTCCGCCCAACCTCTCCTTCCAGCCAGTAGGCAGCTTTTTCACCACCCTGCAGCCTTCTCCCAAGCCTTGGACAAGAGGGAAAGAAAGCTTTTTGCAGCAAGAAAAGAAAAAAGAAAAAAAGGAGAAAAAGAGGCTATGGGAAAATTGACATTAACACAACAGAGAGCCCAGAAATAAATCTAAACATATCCGGTCAACTACTTTTTGACAAGGGCACCAAGAGGACACGATGGAGAAAGAATAGTCCCTTCTTGACTGGATGCAGTGGCTCATGTCTGTAATCTCAGCAGTTTGGGAGGCCGAGGCGGGTGGATCACCTGAGGTCAGAAGTTTGAGACCAGCCTGGCCAACATGGTGAGTAACTACATTTTTTTATTTCCAAGGATTCAAATTGATTCTTGTCTCAGTTCCTTCTCTATTTCTCTAAGGTCTATATACATGATAAAGTCCTTCCCTGACATTCTGCTATCACCATTCCCTTGGTTCTTCCACGGCAGGCGCCTGTAGTCCCAGCTACTCGAGAGGCAGGAGAATGGCGTGAATCCAGGAGGCGGAGCTTGCAGTGAACTGAGATTGCACCACTGCACTACAGCCTGGGCGACAGAGTGAGACTCTGTCAAAAAAAAAAAAACAAAAAAAAAAACACCTAACAAGACATCACTGGAAAGGAAACTTAGACTCCACTTCCTCTTGCGAACATAAGTACAAAATTACCAAATGAACTATGAGCAGGCCCATCTCAATCACATATAAGATAGTATTAATCATATATCACAACAAAGTGATTTAATTCCAGAAATGCAATGTTAAACATTCAAAAGCCAGTCACTAAGTTACCTTATCAACATAAAAGATGAGAAAAAAATTGCTCAATCAAGAAAGAAAAAAGCAATTGATAAAATTCAGTACCTATTCATAAATTTTAAAACCTATCTAACAGAGAGGATGCAACACGCCCAGTTAAACACTCCCACAGCTGAGAATAGTGACATAACTTATGTGCAGCCAAAAGATAGAAATTGCAGGCTGGGCACGGTGGCTCACGCCTCTAATCCCAGTACTTGGGGAGGCAGAGGCGGGTGGATCACGAGGTCTGGAGTTCGAGACTATCCTGACCAACATGGTGAAACCCTTTCTCTACTAAAAATACAACAAATGAGCTGGGCGTGGTCCCACGCACCTGTAGTCCCAGCTACTCGGGAAGCTGAGGCAGGAGAATCGCTTGAACTGCAGAGGCAGAGGTTGTTGCAGTGAGCTGAGATCACTCCACTGCACTCCAGCCTGGCGACAGAACAAGTCTCCATCTCAAAAACAAAAACAAAAACAAACAAACAAAAAAAATTGAATTACAGTATGATCTTAACACTTTTGAGAAATCTGTTTTTCAGCTAAAAAGAGACTCAGCCTTTTGACCTTTTCTCTTTCCCTCCCTGGAAGTCAATCCAAGGAAAAGCAGCAGCCAAATTGTAACCACAAGAACAAAAACATGGCTAAAGAAGTATCAGGAAACTGAAAAGAGCCCCGGACTGCCCGCCTCTGCACTTTTTTTTTTTTTTTTTTTTTTTTTGAGACTGAGTTTCCCTCTCGTTGCCCAGGCTGGAGTGCAGTGGAGCGATCTCAGCTCACCACTACCTCCACCTCCCAGGTTCAAGTGATTCTCCTGCCTCAGCCTCCCAAGTAGCTGGGATTACAGGCGTCCGCCACCACGCCTGGCTAATTTTGTATTTTTAGTAGAAATGGGGTTTCTCTACATTGGCCAGTCTGGTTGCAAACTCTCAAACTCAGGTGCTCCACCCACCTCAGCCTCCCAAAGTGGTGGGATTACAGGCATGAGCCACCACGCCCAGCAGAAAATTGCAGTATAATCTTAAAACTTTTGAGAAATTTATGTTTTTCAGCTAAAAAGAGACAAACTCAGTTTTTTACCTTTCCTCTTTCCCTCTCTGGAAGGCAATCCAAGGCCTGGAAAAACAGCAGCCACATTGTAACCACAAGAACAAAAACAACTTGGACGGCCTTCCTCTGCACATTTTAAGTGACAAAAATGAAACCTATATTTCTTTAAGTCACTGAATCATGTTTATTTTTTCTGTGACTACATGTAGCCTTAAATGATGTATTAACCAAAAATGCACAGCTAGCATAATGCTTAATGAAGAAATAATAAAGACATTAAAATAAGGAATAATCCAATATGCCTGCTTTCATGCCTAATCTCTAACATTATATAACTATCCTATCCAATGTAATCAGACAAGAAAAAATAAATGCTACACAAATATTAGAAAGGAGGGTGAATATTATTATTCATAGACAATACAGTTGCTTCCCTAAAGATTCTAGGAATATTAACTGTTAATTTTTTTTTTGAAACAGAGTCTTGTTCTGGTACCCAGGCTGGAGTGCAGTGGCCCAATCTCGGCTCACTGCAACATCTACCTCCCAGGTTCAAGTGATTCTTCTTGCCTCAGCCTCCCAAGTAGCTGGGATTACAGGTGCCTGTGACCACATTCAGCTAATTTTTGTATTTTTAGTAGAGACAAGGTTTGGCCATGTTGGCCAGGGTGGTCTTCAGCTCCTGACCTCAGGTGATCCACCTGGCTCATCCTCCCAAAGTGCTGGGATTACAGGCATGAGTCGTCATGCCCAGCCAACTGTTAAATGATTAAGAAAATTCAGCAAGATTATCAGATACAATATCAAACATACAAAAATCAAAAGTTTGTCAGGGCACAGTGGCTCATGTCTGTAATCTCAGCACTTTGGAAGGCCAAGGTGGGTGGATAACCTGAGGTCAGGAGTTTAAGACCAGCCTGGCCAACGTGCCAAGCTCCACCTCTACTAAAAATACAAAAAAAGTAGCCGGGCATGGTGGTGTGCACCTGTAGTCCCAGCTATTTGGGACTGAGCATGAGAATCGCTTGAACCCGGGCAGCAGAGGTTGTAGTGAGCTGAGATTGTGCCACTACATTCCAGCTTCAGCGACGGAGTGAGAATCAGTCTCAATTAAAAAAAACAAAAGACAAAAATCAAAAGTTTTTGTATACTACAACATATAACCAATCAGAAAAGAAAAGGAAATAAGGTAATATTAAAAACGGAAAATAATACTTAGCTGAAGAACACAAAAGAACGACTGATTAAATGTAGAAATATGCCATATTTATGGATGGGAGGCATCTACTTTGCAAAGATGTCAATAACCCCTCAATTAATCTACATATTCATTGCAATCACAATAAAAATCCACTGAAGTTTTGCATATAACAAATTGTCTTAATATTCAGAGGGGGCTGGGCACAGTGGCTCATGCCTGTAATCTCAGCACTTTGGGAGGCCGAGGCGGGTGGATCACGAGGTCAGGAGATCGAGACCATCCTGGCTAACATGGTGAAACCCTGTCTCTACTAAAAAAAATACAAAAAATTAGGCGGGCGTGGTGGCAGGTGCCTGTAGTCCCAGCTACTCGGGAGGCTGAGGCAGGAGAATGGCGTGAACCCGGGAGGCGGAGCTTGCAGTGAGCCGAGATCGTGCCACTGCCCTCCAGCCTGGGTGACTGAGCGAGACTCCGTCTCAAAGAAACAAACAAACAAACAAACAAACAAACAAATATTCAGAGGGATGAATTCAGAATTCAGATCCAAGAATAGGCAAGAAGATTCTAAAAGAGTAGTAAGAAAGTGGGGAAATTTGCCAACGTGGTATGAAGACTTCAATCATCAAGCAGAATCACACTGGCTCAGGGACAGGATGGCTCAACAGAAAATAATAAAGCACCCGGGAGCAGACACATTTATGTGGAAATTTTATAGCTGCTGGAGGGAGTATTTGAAATGTGTAGAGAAAGAATTGACTATTTAGTAAATGGTACTGGGAAAATGGGCTATTTATTTGGGAAAATAGCTTAAAATAGAACCCAGAGGAAATTAACAAATAAAAATAATTTTAAATTATTAGAAGAAAATATAGGACAGTGCCTTGAAATGTATTAGGAGAATGATGTAATTAAACTTGCATGAAGAGAATGTCTTCTAATATAGGATACCCAAGGCAAAACTCATAAAGGAAATGATTGGTAAATTTGACATCCAAAGACTTTAAAACTTCAGTATGACAGAAAATAAAGAAAATGTCAAATGACAAACAGAGAAATATTTTCAACATATGTAAATGACCAATAATTAGCATCCCAAACATATAAAAGAAATCCTACAAATAGAAAAAAGTGGGCAAAGAACGTGGCAGGCAATTAATGTAAGAAAAAAACTGGAGTGTTCAATAGCCTTACAAGTGATCATAGAAATTCAGTGTTTTAGGCCGGGTGCTGTGGCTCACGCCTGTAATCCCAGCACTTTGGGAGGCCGAGGCAGGCAGATCACCTGAGGTCAGGAGTTTGAGATCAGCCTGACCAACGTGGTGAAACCCCGTCTCTACTAAAATACAAAACATTAGCTGGGTATGGTGGCGTGTGGCTGTAGTCCCAGCTACTCGGGAGGCTGAAGCAGGAGAATCGCTTGAACCTGGGAGGCAGAGGTTGCAGTGAGCCGACATTGTCCCACTGCACTCTAGCCTGGTGACAGCAAGACTCCATCTCAAAAAAAAAAAAAAAAAGAAATTCAGCCTTTTGACCTTCCCCCTTTCCTTCCATTAAAATAAATAAAACACCATTTCCTTCCATTATAGTGGAAAACAACTAAGTTTGATAATATCGAGCATTGGTAAGATTTTGAGTAAACAAGTACTCTTAAAAATGGCTGGTAGACGTGTAAAAATGACCATTTGGTAGTATCTAGTAAAAATAAAAATGTGAATTATAT